GCAATGGCAAATATACGCTTTTGCCTATATGCTATTAACCATAATTCTTGAGCTTTTGCATCACCACGCTAATGAGTCCTATTCCAAAAGAGGAAACAATGGAATAAAATGTAAAAATCCATCACGCTAAATCCATTAAACATTTATTAAAGAAGTGTTCAAGGGGAACTGCTTTGTCTATTTACCAAGAGGAAAATAATAGAAAATGCATTATCGAGCGGATTTCTGTTTTCTCTGCAATCTCATGATAATCACGGTTTTAACGCCAATATTTTCATACATGAATTATTTGATCTTAATTACAATAGCATCAAGCAAGGGTTCTTTATTTTCAAGGCAATGTTTGCAGCTATGTGGATAGAACAATGTGTTGGCTACTGTTGACCTTCTCAAGAAAAGGCTTTATTATTTATTTCATAAGAATGAAAATGGAATGACCCAAACGGAGCTTAAGTTCGAGATTTTTTAACTCTGGACCCAACATTCTTTTGACTCGTAATCGTTGTATTGGATAACTACCTGATGCCCAATCAAGCGCAAGACCTATCGAAAGTGAACAATTGCTTTGCCGTCTGCACTTTCGAAATGGCAAAACTGCGGAGTGCTGTTTCAATCACTCGAACACTTTGAATATCCGGGTGATTGAAGAAAACTTCGCACTCCATTAACATAGGCTTTTGGGCAATAGACTTTTTTGACTGCCTGTTGCATCTCTGATTATAATGAAGACAAACTATGACGTCCTTTAATGATCTTCGCTTCCTGAGCCGTAGTTCAAATGGACGATGTTCCATTATGCAACGAATTGTTTCGACCTCGCACACCAGTGTCACTGTATAATTAACATGCTGAAAGTAGGTGCTAGGGAATTCCATATATTGATTCAAATGATAATGCCAAAAAAGAAATATGCAATAATTGAACTAGAAGCTATTGCCAAATCTATAATTGAAACTAACACAGCGAGCAATCAAAAGACAATGAGGAAAGTTATGAAAGATTCAGTCTCTCAGTTATTAAGTTCCCTCATCCGTTTAGGTAGCGAAAGTAGATGAATCAGAGGCAGTTTCCAACATTCCTGACCCTACGCCAGTATTTCTGCTCAATAGAAGATGACTCGACTCTAGAGCATGGTTTTTTTCGTATATTTATCCCAGAAATCCTTGATTGTTTGATAGAACTTCCGTCAATCGGTTCAGTAAGTAGTAACTGTTTCGCATCCATTTCTGAATGCGTTTGAATAACGTGGCCAGGCTATCGAAGTTGTGACTTCTCAATTTACAGAAGCAGCTGCTGTACACCAAGACTCTCTCGAATACTTGAAGTCGAGCCTATACCGAAAGAAGTGAGCCCATCGATTCGTTTCAGACAAACCATTTCAGATGCTTTACCTGGGATCGAAGTTATATGATCGAAGTCCTCGATTCATGATCGAGGGTAAATATGGGAATGAAGATCAGCTTTAGCGAAGGGAGCATAATTTTCAGACTCAGCTCAGCTTTAGTCACGACACTTCGAGCTTCTTCACTCATGATGCTGTTAGCCATTTCAATTCTCAAACCTGTCTTCTCCTCCCACTTTCGTCATTGATAAACAGGACAAAGAAGAATGTGAATTTCTACAGCCGCTCCACTGTTCAACTGTTTAGCTGCATATTAAGGCCCCCTTAAATGTCAAATCTCATGTGTTTATTTCCGTTTGCTAGCATGCAGAGTTCATAGTCATCCACCGATGACTGACTTGCAAATATAATGTCTGCACAGTTGCCACCGATACACGTCATTAATTAGCCTCTTACAACTG